AGTCTTTGATCTTCATCAGTAAGTATTGTAAGTCCTCGAGGCTTTCAGCAAGCAAGCTTGTGTCATTGCATATCATAGGTTGTTAATGAATTTCCTTCCAGTTCTGATGCCACGTTGTTCTTCATGTAATCCAGCATCTTGGATTATTTGCTCAGCATACAGATTGAGTAAGTATGGTGAAAGGACATAACCTTGCTGCACACTTTTTCTGTTTTAAAACCATTTAGTGCCCCTTTTTCTGTTTGAACAACTGCCTCATGGTCTGTATACACATTCCTCATGAATACAATTAAGTGTTCCAGAATACTCATTCTCTACAGTGTTGTTCATAACTTGTCATGATCCACATAATTGAAAGCCTTTGCATAGTCAATAAAGCACAGGTAAACATCTTTCTGGTATTCTCTGCTTTCAATCAAGATCCATCTTACATCAGCAGTTTTTGAATTAACTAACAAAACTTTACTTGCGATATTAATAATATTGTACGATGATTTCCACATTCCATTGGGCCACCTCTCTTTGGAATCGACACAAATATGGATCTCTTCCAATCAGTTGGCTAGGCAGCTGTCTTCCAAATTTCTTGGCTTAGATGAGTGAATGCCTCCAGTGTGATATCAATTTGTTGAAATATTTCAATTTGTATTCCATCAATTCCCAGTTCCTTGCTCTTTGCCAGTGCCTTCAATACACCTTAAATTTCTTGTTTCAGTATCATAGGCTCTTGATCATATGTTACTTCTTAAAACAGTTGGGCTTGAACTATTTCTTTTTGGTATAGTGACTGTATATTCTATTTTCTTTTGATGCATTGTGCATCATTCAGTATTTTGCCCAAATAATCCTTCAGTATTTTAAGTCGAGGCTTAAATTTTTTCTTCCGTTCTTTCAGCTTGAGAAATACTGAGCATGTTTTTTCCCTTTTGGTTTTCTAACTCTAGATCTTTATTCATTTCATTATAGTATTTGTCTTCATGAGCTGCCCTTTGAAATTTTCTGTTCAGTTCTTTTTCTTCCTCATGTCTTCCATTTGCTTTAGCATCTCTACGCTGGAGAACAAGTTTCAAAGTTTCTTCTGACGTCCATTTTGGCCTTTTCTTTCATTCCTTGTCTTCTTAATGACCTTTAGCTTTCTTCCTGTATGATGCTCTTGATATCATCACATAATTCTTTTTGTTTTCTGTCATTAGTGTTTAATGTATCAAATTTGTCCTTGAGATGATCTCTAAATTTATGTGGGATATGTTCTAGGTCATATGTTGGCTCTCATGGACTTGTTTTAAGTTTTTTCAGCTTTATCTGGAACTTGCTTATGAGTAATTGTGGTCTGTGCCTGGCCTTGTTTTGGCTGATGATATGGAGCTTTTCCACAGTCTCTACAGACATAGTCAATTTGATTTCTGTGTATTCCATCTGGTGAGGTCCATGTGTACAATTGTCTTTTATGTTGTTTAAAAAAAGGTATTTTCATTGAAGAGTTCATTGGTCTTGCAAAATTCTATTGCGTAATCTCCAGCATCATTTCTATCACCTAGGCCTTATTTGGAGTCCTGGTGTGGTGCTGTGGGTTAATGTGCCAGACTGCAAAACCATTTAAACTGCAAGGTTGGCGGTTTGAGCTCACCAGCTGCTCCATGGAAAAGCTATACAGGGTCGCTATGGGTCAGAATTGACTTGACGGCACTTCACAACAACAACAGGCCTTATTTTCCAACTATTAATCCTTCCGGATTGTTTCCAACCTTTGCATTCCAATCACTAGTAATTATTAATCCATCCTGATAACGTATTTGATCAATTTCAGACTGAAGAAATTGGTACAGTTCTTGACAGTGTCATCATTACTGGCTCTCGTGGTTGGTGCATAAATTTAAATAATAAGTGGTATTAACTGGTCTTCCTTGTGGTGGTTGGTGGTTGTGTGCTGTCAAGTCGGTTCTGACTCATAGCAACCCTGTATAGGGTCTCCAAGATTGTAAATCTGTATGGGAGCAGAAAGCCTCATCTTTTCTCTGGTGGAATATATTGTCCTCCAGTTTCATCTGTTGTGTTATGCAGTGTTTCACAGAGTCGTTATTTTTCAGAACAGCATAGTATTCCATTGTGTATATAGACAGAGTTTGTTTGTTGATCCTTCCATTAATGGGCATTGAGGCTCTCTCCATCTTTTTGCTGTTGTAAGAAGTGATGAGCCTTGGTTTGCATAAATCTGTTCCTGTCATGGCTCTTGTTTCTTGTGAGCATATACCAAGTAGAGGAATTATTGGGTCATACAGTTTTTCTATTTCCAACTTTCTGATAAAGTGCCAAATTGTTTTTCATAGTGGTTGAACCATTTTACAATTCCACCTGCAATTTCAAAGGGTCCTAGTCTCTCCACATCCTCACAAGCATTTGTTGTTTTGGTTTTTTTTTTGAGTTTTGCTGTTCTTGATGGGGTATTTTGTGTACAAATCATTTTGTGTATAAATCACTATTTAGCTCTATCCGATTTAGCCCATTCATACCTCCTTATATCTTCCCCTATCTTCATTGTTTATCTGCCACTCTCGCTCTTCTTGTGTATTGCCCTAGCCCCCCTTGTATAATTGCCCTCTCTGTCACTTGAGGTAATATATGTCTACCCTGTAGCCAATGAATTACTCCCCCTTCCTCTCACCCTTAGGTTGACTTTGCAGATTTGGGTGAGAGACTGCCCTAGTTGGGATATTGTATATATATCCTCCCTGGGGCTCAGACTGCCTGAAATATGGGAGGGTCCCTGGGGTTGTACGCTGGTCAGAAAAAAAGGAATAAAATTTTATTTTATTTTATTCCTTGGATTTGCCAACATCTACCAATAGCTACCAGCGCTTCTAAGACTAAGTGTTGTTATTGTGAAGTGCCTTCGAGTCAGTTCTGACTCATAGCAACCCTGTACAGGGTTTCTGAGGAGCAGCTGGTGGGTTTGAACCACTGTCCTTGTGGTTCGCAGTCCAGTGCTGATTCTGCAGCTCCACATTGTTGTTAAGTACTATGGAGTCGGTTCTGACTCATAGTGACCCTGCACAGGGTTTCCGAGGCTGTAAATCTTTATGGGAGCAGAATGCCTCTTCTTTCTCCCGTGGAACCGCTGGTAGTTTCGAACTGCTGACCTTGAGGTTGGCAGCCTGACTTGTAACCATTATGGTACCAGAGCTCCATACAAGCTGTACTTAATAAGTTGTACAACAACAGCATAATGATTACGAGTCAGACTGCTAGCCTCAAGGTCTGCAGTGTGAACGTTTTGAAACTACCAGCTGTTCCGTGGGAGAAAGATGAGGTGTTCTGCTCCTGTAAAGATTTATAGTTTCGGAAACACTATATAAGATTACTATGAGTCGGAACCGACTCCACGGCATACCACCACAACACCATTAATAAGTAGTCAATTGGTGTTTGTTTTTGTTTTTTTTTTTAATTAGAAGAAAAAGAGAACCTAGTGTGGCTTTTGTGTGTCTTAAAATCTCAGTGGAGAGACTTGGGTGAATCAAATCTTTCCCAGTATTTTCTTAAGGAATGGAGACTTTGCTCTTCTGCCTATTGCTTCCTTGCTAGGCTTGAAGTCAGACTTCTTTCCCCTGAGTAAAAACTGAATGAGGCCAGACTTCCAATTATAAAGATCTGAAGGCTGGGAAAGGAAATTCACTGGCTATGTAACCTGGAAAAATTACTTAACCTCACTTTACATCAGTTTCCTCTTCTGTAAAATAGAGATGTCAATACCTATTTCTAGAGTTGGAGAATTAGAGATAGTATATATAAATCACCTAGCATAGAATGTTTAATAAAATGGTATTATTATTACTGACTAAAATCTGAATGTTCTAGGCCACTCTAAGGAGTAAAGGATATGAGATTCTTTTCACTAAGGATGAAGGATAGCTGTTTAGGAGAAGAAGTAATGCATCGGTTTTCTGTTGCTGTGTAACAAACTTCTGTGGCTCAAAACAACAATGAGATCTTTTTTCTTATAGTTCTGTGTTTTTTCTATTTGTCTCCTTAGATTTATTTGTATGGCTGCAGTCAGATGATGCTTAGAATGGCTGGATGTTCCAAGATGGCCTGACTCACATGTCTGGCTATGGCTGTTGGCTGTTTGTTGGAACATCTTGATTCTCCTCCAAGTGGCCTCTCATTCTTCTGTAGGCCAGTTTCCTTAAAACATGGCAGTCTTAGGACAGCGCTCTGAAAGGGCGAGCCCCAGAGTTTGCTTATGAATCATGGACTTACTTGCTTTGACAGTTGCTCTTACCCCTTTGGTCAAGGCAAGTGTCAGGGCCAACTCCTGAGTCACTGTGGGAGGGGACTTAGGTTCCTTCTTGTTGGAGAGGAGTAGCATCTGTGACCATTTTTAATCCACCACAAGACTGAGGCTTGATCGACGTGTTTCTTGGCTTAATATTGGCCTCAGAAAGAAAAGATTCTGTTGGGTTTTCCAGTTTTCCTCTTATCACTGATACCTTTTTTGTATTACTATTTTACAGAAGAGGAATGGGAGATGATTTACTAACTAAAAGTTGAATTGAAGCATAATGCTTGCTCTTATTCATTTAAAGATGTATGAAGCAGAGACTAATCTCAGGGTGTGCAAATGGCAGGAAAGCAGAAATCTCTTCCCTTTAAGGAAGAATTGCCTTGTGAAATAGTCTTGCTGAATGCTGCTTCACGTTTACCCACTTGCATTGTTAGAAAAACAATAAAGAAGAAGATGGGTAACCATATGCAAAGGGTTTTGCAGAAGAATTTCCTCACTGAATGACTGGACTTACTTGATTCATTGTTGTTGTTAAATGCTGTTGTTGTTAAATGCTGTCGAGTCAATTTTGACCCATAATGACCCTGGACAGAGTTTCTGAGGAGTGAGTGGCTGGTGAGCTTGAACCAGTTTTATGCAGGATAACTCTTCCAGAGCACAATTACTCTTTCTCTTTCTAATATGCCAGTACTGCCTCCGTCACAACCCCCAAACAAAGACAGCGCTGTTCTAAGTTATAGAATCATAAACTTTTGATCACAGTGATATCAAAAGTTTATGATTCTATAACTTAGAAGAGTGTTGTTCTTTCGTTGGGGGTATGATGGAGGCGGTACTGGCATATTACAAAGAGAGAAACTGTGTTTTGGAAGAATTGCCCTGCATAGAATTTTAATTTCACTTGTTTGTAAGTTCAGATTTACCTTCTATTGTTGTGACAAACACTCTATTTAGTACTACATCTTGAAGATCGGCTATTTTGTGTGTGTGTGAATGTTCTTAGGTTAGAATAAAAAAGAGAAGAAATCAAAGTAAGAAATAAATGTATATAATTGTTTGCATCTAGCAATTACCTGGCCATAACTACAGTTTGTCTAATTAAAATGGTTTTTATGCTTTTTCCTTTTCATATCCTATGTTCTTACCAAGACATGGTTCTGAAACCACCTGATTTTATAGCAGAACACCAGGCTCAAATGGTCCTCTTGTCAACTGAGAATACCTTGTCAATAATTGATCATAAAGTGGACTAGTTTCCTTATTTTCGTCTCTCTCTTGTCTTTGGGGCTGAAGGGTAGCTACTCTTCACTCCACTGTAAAGCTGTGCAGCAAGCAATCTGGTGTGGGTTAATGTGCATAATGTTCACATGTTGGCTACTTTGAGCATTATGCACGTTAATATTTGTTTGATTTGATTTGAGTGATGGTGTTTCTACAGAGGAACCCATCCCACTTCTAGTACTTAGGTTTTAGAACAGTGAGATTCAAAGGTATGGCTGACATTCTATACTAGTTCACCTAGAGGTTAGGTTCTTGGTGGGAAGCAGAATTTAATCTGCAAATAAATATGCTACCTAAAATGAGTCATTGATATCCTGACTGGAATATTTACAAACTGGGATATTGTGAAAAACATCTGCCCATCAACTGTGCAGGCAGGTCATTGGCTCCCTTCTTTGGGTTTCACTGTTCTTCCTGTTAAAAGTAATTTTATGTTATTTAGATATGGTTGCCATGTGTTTTTGCTTCTCAATCCATTTCTGATTATAAATGATACTGACACATGAGTTGCTTTGTTTTTGATTTAATGTTTTATAAGTCTCAGGAATCTGTGCTGATTTTTGTTCTCTCTTATTTTTTCAGAATGGACTGCTGAGTTATGAAGTATTTCAGACCCGATAGTATAGCATCACTGTGCCACTCACTCCTTTATCTTCTACTAGTTATTTAAATTGGACTTTTAATATCCTACCAGCTGCTCTTCAGACACACATGGTGCATTGTTGCCATTCCCCGGATTGCATCTTTGAAACACAGGCTCTTAGTAACCTTCAGCAAACAAAGAGACAACCTCCGGTATCTGTTTACCAAGAGGTAGTCATCCTGACTGCCCTCTAGCTTTTGCTGGATCTGGATTTGAATTCCACCATGGAGCCTCGCATGGAGTCCTGCTTGGCACAGGTGTTGCAGAAGGATGTGGGGAGGCGATTGCAGGTTGGCCAAGAACTTATAGATTATTTCTCAGACAAACAGAAGTCGGCTGACCTTGAGCATGACCAGACCATGTTAGATAAACTTGTGGATGGACTTGCTACCTCTTGGGTGAACTCTAGCAACTACAAGGTAAGCTTTACTGAGATGTCTGCACTACCTTGGATCAAATTGGTCCAATTTGTGAGCTATCAGCGTGCCCCCGTGGCTTCCAGTAAGACAAAGGTAGACAGGTTATGGCTTTTGGCATTTTTGGTATTTTATTCTCGAGCAAGTAGAGTTTTCTTTGATTTCTGCGGGAGAGTTTTAAAAAAAAAAAAAATTATCCTTTAGAACTATAAGAAAAGGCCAAGTGATAAAGAGAAGATTATAAGCACTTGCAGCCTTAAATTGAAAGTGTATGTTATATCTTGCAACAGGTGGGTTATGAGAAAAAATACCTTGGTGAGTGGCCCTGCATGAATGACAAGTGTCTTCATTGGTTTTCTTTGTGAGATGGAATTAGGAATTGGATGTGAAATATTCCACCTTTAGGTTGCTGTTTTGAAGTTGGTCCAGGAGTAGGATGGTTTGTCATGGGCTGTTCTGTGACCTGTGTGCAATGGTCTAGAGGACATCCTTCAGGTTCTAGAGCTCTTCATGTGCTCTTGGGAGTAGGGTCATATGGCTCAAGTGACTTGTGAAGGCCGACCATTGTATCATACAAGGACTGAGCTCTCATGAATAAAAACTAGACTGGATTTGAAGTACAAAAAGGTGTCATTCTCTTCTTTGGCCCACAACGAACGTACTGTCTTCTAGTATGCCAAGAAGATGGCCCCTTTGGATCATGTTGAGATGAAAGGAAAAGTGGGAAGTTTGCATGCATAATTGGCAGCAGGTGTTATGTTGCTGTTAGTTGTTGTCGTGCCGATACCCATTCAGAGTGGTCTTATGCACAATAGAATTAAACACTGCCTGGTCCGGTGCCAACAACCTCACAGTCGTTTGCTACACTTGAGCCCATTGCTGCCGCCACTGTGCCTGTCCATCTTGTTAGGGGTCTTCCTCTTTTTCACAGACTCTCTACTTAATGAAGCATGATGTTCTCCAGGGACTGGTCCCTCCTGATAAGATGTCTGAAGTATGAGAGATGAAGTCTGGGCATCCTGGCTTCCGACTGTACTTCTTCCAAAACAGATTTGTTTGTTCTTTTCTTTGCAGTCTATGGTACTTTTAACATTCTCCTCCAATACCATAACTCAAATGTATCAATTAATCTACTGTCTTCCTTATCCATTGTTCAACTTTCACATGCTTATGAGGCTGTTGAAAATCTTATTACTTGGGTTAGGCACACCTTAGTCCTCAAATTGACATCTATGCTCTTGAACACTTTAAATAGGTCTTGAGCAGCAGATTTGCCTAAATGCAATATGTTGCTAGATTTCTTGACTGTCTCTTCTATGAGGGTTGATGGTTGATCCAAGCAAAATGTCTTTGACAACTTCAGTTCTTTTCTCCATTTATATGGATGTTGTTACTTGCTCCCATGATGAGGATTTTTGTTTTCTTTACATTGAGGTGCCATCCATACTAAAGGCAGTGGTCTTTGATCTTCATCAGTATTTTAAGTCTTCTTTGTTTTCAGCAAGCAAGGTTGTAACATTCGCATATCATAGATTGTTAATCAGTCTTCCGCCAACCCTGATGTCATTGTCTTCATATAATTCAGTTTCTTGGATTATTTGCTCAGCATACAGATTGAATAAGTATGGTGAAAGAATACAACCTTGGTGCACACCTTTTCCAATTTTAAACCATTCAGTGTCCTCTTGTTCTATTCAAACAACTCCTTATTTGTCCATGTACAGATTCCTCATGAGCACAGTTAAGCATTCCGTAATACTCATTCTTTGCAATGCTGTCCATAGCTTGTCATGAGCTACATAATTGAAAGCCTTTGCGTAGTTAATAAAGCACTTATAAACATCTTTCTGGTATTCTCTGCTTGCAGCCAAGATCCATCTGATGTCACTGGTGATATCTCTTGTTCGACATCCTCTTCGGAGTCCAGTTTCAACCTCTGGAAGTTCTCTGTCAATATACTGTTGCAGCTCTTTTTGAATTATCTTTAGCAAAATTTTGCTTGCATGAGATATTAATGATATTGTCCAATGATTTCCACCTTCCGTTGGGTCACTGCTCTTTGGAATGAGCACAAATGTAGATCTCTTACAGTCGGCCAGATAATTATCTTCCAAATTTCTTCGTGTGGATGAGTATCCAGTGCTACATCCGTTTGTTGAAAGATTTCAATTTGTATTCCATCAATTCCCGGAGGCTTCTTCCTTTAGTATCACTGGCTCTTGATTGTATGCTACCTCTTGAAATGGTTTGAACCTCAACTATCTCTTTCTGTTATAGTGACTCTGTGTATTCCTTCTGTCTTCTTTTGATGCTTTCTGCATCATTCAGTATTTTGACCATTACAAGTCTAGGCTTGAATTTTTCCTCAGTTATTTCAGCTTGAGAAATGCTGAGCATTTTCTTTCCTTTTGGTTTTCTAACTCCAGGTCTTTGCACATTTCATCGTATCAAAACATGGAATGTATGAAGTATGAATCTAGGAAAACTGGAAGATGTCAAAAATGAAATGAAACATAAAAACATTGATATCCTAGGAATTAGTGAACTGAAATGGACTGGTATTGGCCATTTTGAATCTGACAGTCACATGGTTTACTATGCCGGAAATGACAAATTGAAGAGGAATGGTGTCACGTCCATCATCAAAAAGAACATTTCAAACACATCTTGTAGTACAGTGCTGTCTATGATAGGATAGTATCCATATGTCTACAAGGAAGACCAGTTAATATTACCAGCTATTCAAATTTATGCAACAACCACTAAAGTCATCGATGATGAAATTGGAGAATTCTTCCAACTTCTTCAGTCTGAAATTGATTAAGCATGCCATCAAGATGTTTTGATAATTACTAGTGATTGGAATGCAAAGGTTGGAAGGGGATTAGTGGTTGGTAAATAATGGCCTTGGTGATAGAAATGATGCTGGAGAGATCACATGTCAGAATTTTGCAAGAGTAATGACTTTTTCATTGCAAATACCTTTCTTAAACAACATAATAGACGACTGTTAGCGTGTATCTCATCAGATGGAATACACAGAAATCAAATTGACTACATCTGTGGAAAGACATGGTGGAAAAGATCCATATCACTAGCCAAAATAAGGCCAGGGCACACTGTGGAACATATCATCAATTGCTCATATGCAAATTCAGACTGAAGCTGAAGAAAACTAAAACAAGTTCACGAGTGCCAAAATTTGGCCTTTAACATATCCCCTGTGAATTTAGATATCATCCGAATTACAGATTTGATGGAGTAGACACTAGAAGAATTGTGGGATAATATCAAGAACATCAAACAAGAAGAAAGCAAATGATCATTAAGAAGATAAGACAAGAAAGAAGGAAAACACCAAAACATATGTCAGAAGAGATCAAACCTTGCTCTCCAGCACAGAGATGATAAAGCAAATGGAAGAAATGAGGAGGAAAATGAGTTGAACAGAATGTTTCAAAGGGCAGCTCGAGAAGACAAAGTCAAATATTATAATGAAATGTGCAAAGACCTAGCACGTGCTATTGATATGTCAAAGAGTCTTAGAGAATCTTTTGTATGTTCTTTTATTCATCCAATCTGCTGAGATTTGAGACTGGTGTTTACAAGATTATTTTGTTTGCTCTGGTATGGATTCTGTTTTCCAAATGCATTAACCTTTGTTATCATTTAGTAGTCTGATGTGGGATTGGGATGATCACTGGACAGCTAACAGCAAGGTCCATGGTTCATATCCACCACCTGCTCCTCAGAAACTCTATACAGGGTTGCTATGAGTCAGAACCAACTTGATGGCACTTAACAACCACAATCATTTAAGAGAGAGCAGACTATATTACTTAAGGGTGTTACCTAAGACTTTAATTTTTTACTTACAACTTGATATTTATTCTTCCTGAAAGCTGAGGTTAAATTTTGTTTCATTCATTTAACAACTGCTTTTTATGGTGCCAAATAGCAGGTATGCTGGCTCTACAGAGAGATTAGTTGTTAAATTTTTGAGGGTTATGCAGCCACTTTGTCTGTCTGAATTCACAACTTTGTATATACAGGCACACATTGTTTGCTTCACTTTATTGTACTTCATAGATGCTGTGATTTTACAAGATGAAGATTTATGACAATCCTGCATCGAAAAAGTGTACTGGCACCCTATTTCTAGAAGCATGTGCTTGTTTCATGTCTGTGGGTCACATTTTGTTAATTTTCATAGCATTTCAAACTTTTTTTGTAGTGCTATTGACTCCTAATAGGCTACAGTATAAGCATAGCTCTGATATGTACTAGGAAACAAAACATTTTCCATAACTGACTTTATTGTGATCTGGCTTTATTGTGGTGATCTCAAATGGAACCTGCAGTGTCTCTGAGGTATACCTGTAGCTGGATGCTCCTGGTTGAGAGTACCCAAACTCGGGCTTAATCAGCTTGAATGTTACTATGAAGAAATGTAGTATCTCAAAAATAAGCTCGGGAATCAATAAGGCAATGCCCTGGAAAAACAGAGTATCTTTTTGTATGTGCCTCTTGCCTTTCTTCTGTGCTCCCCAGCAGACTTTATTACATTTCATTGACTATAATGTCTTTGCATGCCCATTCTAGCATCTTTGGAAAAATGGAATTGATGTCCGTGATTGATTTTAAATTGGTGTGGTATCACAGGATAATGCACTGGACTGTAGTGTTGGTTTGAACTGCAAGGTTGCTAAGTCGAAACTGACTCAATGGCCCTTAACAACAGTGTTTGGAGGGGCAGCAAGATAGCACCATAAGATAAGCACTGGGCTTCGAATCACAAGGTCGGCGGTTCAAGCCCACCAGCTGCTCTTGTAAAAGATACGAAGCCTCAGCAACCCTATACTGGGTTGATATGAGTTGAAACTGATTTCACGGTGCTTAACAACTGCAACAATGTTATAGAGTTCTGGTATAGTGCTGTAGAATAAGCACTGGACTTCCAACTGCAAGGTTGGAAGCCTTATCAGGGTCACTATGAGTTGGAA